TTGTCCCGAGATCATGCTCTCGACTTGCCTTTGTGCTAGATTCCAAGTTACTCAGAAGATGTCTCAACTCTTGGCCGTGAAACAAATCTTCCAATATCTGAAAGGAACAAAGAGCGTAGGAATTTGGTACCCAATAAATGAGAGATTTTTGTTGCAAGATTACATGGATTTAAATTATAGTGGACTTCAACTTCATCAGAAAAGCACATCTGGTGGATGTCATGTTTTTGGTGGAAGATTGGTTAGCTGGTCATCCAAGAAACAGAACCACATAGCTCTTTCAACAGCCAAAGTGGAATACATTTATACTGCAAGCTGCACCTCTCAAGCTCTATGGATGAAATCTCAGCTGCTAGACTATGGTTAACAATTTTAGCAGATTCCGATCTACTTTGATTCTCCGAATAGCTATCGATATCTCTCATAATCCGATCCAACAGTCCATGACCAAACACATTGAAATTCGATACGATTTCATTAAAGATAATGTTTTAAAAGGTAACATTGAGCTCATTTTTTCCATTTGATGACGAGATCGTTGATTTCTTTACCAAGGCATTGGACGAAACTAAATTCAATGGTTTAATAGAACAAATAGGAATGATGATGCCTGATCCACAGTGTTTCCAAGAAGTTTGTACTCTGTGATGGAAACACTGAGGATCATTAACTGTCTTCATAATTGTTTTTTTAGGAAAATAAAGGATCACTATATGTCTTTTTGTCTAACCTTTCTTTTAGTCTTAAGCTCTTTCGGGTTGTCTCTCCATGGATAGTTCAGTCCGAAATCTACTTTTTCATAGATCTAGAGAGTTTTTTTTCTGAAACTTCACTTTTCGATATCTTCATGATAAATTTATCTCGGAATGAAAATTCGAATTGGTAATGTGATTTCATTTCATTTCTTTTCCGATCTCTAATCCTTTAGCTCTCGGAATCTCTCAAATCTCTTTCAACAGGTTGACTAAGATCTTCCATGTAACTTTCGTTTGTAATATCCAGTCTTGAAGATTGTGTCACTTCTTGGATTAATATATGACACTAGTGATTGATTTTCCGATTCTCGGAGTATCTTATGTCAATCCATCTTGGAATTCCTTTGATCCGAGATCTCACTTTAATAGCAAATAAATGTGATTTTAAGGTTATCATTAACTGTGTTTTCCGAAACGGCCAAAATGTTCACCCAACAACTATTATCCTTTAGTCCACATAAACATGCTTTGGCACACATTTCAATAAATTAATGAGTGATTTTCTAATTATGAATCGAAAATTACCGTTTTTAATGCAAATAAAGTCTTTTCACCTTCACTTTTAACTGTTACATAAGGGGTAACTATAAACCCAAGCATTAAATGCACCCCGTTTTCGAGTTGGGTGTCATCATTTTTCTTTCGACCCGATTCGAAAACAACCTACCTATATAAGGATTTTGAATCCTAAATTGTTCCCTCCTTATGCTCTTTATCTCTCTCGTTGCTTAGAACCCTTCTTCCTGTACTCTATGTTCTTTGTGTTCTTCCTCGAGAATTCAACAATGGCACCCAAAACGACTAACTCACCATCAAAGAAGAAAACATCAAAGGGTCCTGCATCATCTTCTTTAGATGCACCCATATTAAGGGACATGACACAAATATTTTCTCTTGATCCAAACAATTATGACGAACTTGTTCAAGTTATGATTGAGTTCATCTCGCTCTACCCCATTGTTTTGCCAAAATCCCAAACCCTAACTTTCCACTATGTATGCTTCACAAAGCCATTGAACGCGTCAAGATCGAATATGGTGTTCTTGATTGTTACATCACAGATGACAGGATCGTCCCTGTTACTAAGGTTACTTTTCTCATAGCTATTTGGGTTTCTCCAAATCCGAAAGGTTTTAAAGTTGTTGACCAACTGCAAAAGAATTCCAAGAGTTTTTTTAACCAAATTGGGTTTAAATGGGTCTACAAATCGAAAGAGTTGAAAAAGTCATATGTTTCTGGGCTATAGACGATTTTGATGCACATGGTGATGAAAAGATTATCTGGCAAACATGGAGGAACTGACTCCATGAGGAAGGATTGATTATATCTTGTGTACATCATCTACACTGGCACATCAAATGCAATTGATCTACCAGAAGTTTTATGGCAGGATTTTTGGAAGTTTGCCATCCGTCGGAAAGCTAATGAGATCTCGAGTCCGATATTTTGGGATCTAACTCTTCAACAGATCTACACTGACCGACGTGAACCATTTCCCTTGATGTCAAACCCACCTGAGGTATATTGTAATTTTAAATTTATTAAAACTTATCGTCTGCCAAATCAATCATATTTTGGTCACATCTGACGTTTTCCTCAACATATGCTACACTCTCTCCCTTCCGACTCTCCATTCAAAGCAAAACATCTTGAAGTTTCAAAATTGGTCGACCCATAAATTCCGACCCAGACTTTGGATGTCTAGCCCTCAAAAGGTGAGAAATCATCAAAAAATGGAGGTCGAATTAAGATGAAATCCAAAAAATTCCATGCCTCCTCTCCTACTAATACAAAAAGAGTTCTAAAACCGGTGAATCCTCTCAAAAGGATTCACATCTTGGTTCTCGACCTGATTTTGGGTCTCCGCATACCCCACCTGTCCATTTTTTCGAAGTACCCTTCGGAGTCTCAATACCACATACACACACACGGGGAGTCTGCACATAATTTTCCCCCATCCTCTGAAAAGGATGGTGCTGACATTGAACAAAGTTCCCTGCACCCCCGGAAAGCACTCACAATTCATTAATATCCCTCTCTTTTCTGCACAAGCACAAACTGGGGCCCCTGCCACAGTTCGTAAGCTTTCTGAGCCAAGAGTTGTCCCCTCAACCTTGGAAGCCTCAACTGATTCGATATCCACCACGGATAAAGGACACTCATGTGTTACTTCTGATGATTGGAATGAAATACTTGACATGGCTTAACTCAGGCGCTCAGATTTGACTAGAGAACAAATCGAGTTTCTCCTAATCGGAATGAGATAAGGAGCACTATGCAGCAAGCTTACAATGATACGTCCCGCCGATTTCAAAGTTGATGCTCTTCTGCCTACATTAGTCAAGCTACAATTTGATGATGTTCCCACTAACACGGATGATCCATCGGCCAACGAAACTGAGACGATTCCAAAAGAAGATTTCCCCGAATCAACACCAATATCAGATGAGCCTCCTTCGAAAGATGATCAAGCTACATGATAAGTTCCCATTACCAATCCGGTCTCGGACGATCCTCCTCACGATGACCATGTCGATGCCAATGACCAGATTGAGTTTGCAAATACTCAAGTTGATTTTTCAAGACTTCTTCCCGCTAGATAAAACTTTCAATTTATTCAAGCCTCTTCCCCTAAACCACATATTGATCTTGACTTTCAGTCATCTTATAAAGGGATGGATCTCGGAGATGGTAATAATGATACAAAACAAGATGATGATGACACTAAAGGCTCTAACGACTCAGATGATGATGTTGATGAGAAGTCCATAGGATCCAGCTCGGATACAGGATCCTATGATGAACAAATTACTGATCCTTTTGCTCTGTTGGAACTTCAAGATAAAGTTGATAAATTCAATTGCAATTTTGAGAATGTACATGCTCAGGTCGGAGCTCTCAACTCAAAAATCGATTTGGTGATCAAATCTCTTTCCGAGATCAAGTCTGCTGCTCCCTCGAAACTTGACAGAACAAACCAATTATATCAACTTATCTCACTTTTCTTGCAGCATACCTTAGAAGAAGTTGAGCAGAGATACAAAGACAACCTCGATCACCACATCTCCACCACCTCTACAATGCTCAAAATTCATGACAATATGATTTTTAGTACCAATGAACTCATCAAGCAGACTCATATCCGTCATGAAAAACAAATTCAAAGATTGGAGAAGGAGATCCGAAAGAAATATGGGATGAACATGATAATGCAAAAAGTTTTGATCAAGGTAATTTGGTCTACCCAACACTTTATGGACACTCTGAATTACAAGTTCAACGAAGTCCTTCTAATCACAGAAGAAACCATTGACACCTTCAAATCTCAAGATCCAACAACTAATGCGTACGAGAAACTCACCAAACAAATCAACCTGAGTTTCCAAAATGTATTTGAAAACTTTGGTGATCTACAACCTGGAGCATTGCTTGAATCAGAATCAGGGTCTTCCCACACAAGATGGGGAGATAAGATAACTGGGTGGAAACCAAGCTCAGAATTTCAACCCCGAGATGAACCAACAGATGAAGATGTGCTGTAATCATCAGGTAATTTTCGTCAAGGTATAATATTTAAAGTTCTTGGTCCAAAATTAAGTTCATGTCATCTTTCTCCATCTTGGGTTTTCTTTTACAAATTTCCTTTTTTCATCGGTCTATCCTTTCCCTTTCCCCCATTTTCGAGTTCTTTCATGTTACCATACTCTCTTATGCCTAAGTCATGTCATTTGTTTGGCGTATTCTTTTTTTGATTCATCATCTCAATGAAACCGAGAGTTTAATTCTTGGGTTATTTGAAATATCGAGTGTGGTTTATTTGAAATAACGAGTGTCTATAACCTCCAATCTTTTTGTTATTCTCGAATGGTTCTCAATGTCAAGACTGGAAGTCCTCATTTAGTCTTAAAAAGTTCTCCCACAACTCATGATTGGAAAGGTTGATATTTCTTCGTTAACGGTAGTTCCCTTGGACAAGAACTTCTTTCCTATGATTGGCTAACTGAGGGTAGGAATTTTACATTTTGGGTATTTCTATTTCATTCTCCTTGTCTGATTTTGATTTTCCTCTTTTGCCTTTGGCTAATCCCAAAGTTTGATGAGATTTGTTTTCCTCAAGAGGATACTTAATAGAAGGTCCAAGGGTTTTTGAAGCTTCCAGTGGAGAAAAGTATCTTTGGATTGGTAGAGGCTTGTCTTGTAGGAAACTCCAGCTCATTTATCCCAATAGAGGATTAAAAATCAGTCATGTCTACAGGTATGTGGCAATATATTACTATTTGATTTACTCCTATCTTGGTTGATAATAGCGTTTTATGTTCAGGAACAAGGCAAACTCATTCATGTACTTTTCTCAATACCCCTTTCAATGTGGCCGATTTTCTTTCCAAAGATCCTATCATGAAGGTTGAGAAATCCACCAATATAGGTACCAGGAAGTTAGAAAGCAAAGCAAAAAGACTTGATCCAAAAAAAAGGAAATCTAATTTGGAGGTGGGTCACTAAGTGTTTGATGGGCTTAATCCTTTCGAGGTTTAACAAAAAGTGGGCATATTGGTTCAATATGTAACTTTCATGTCCATCCTTCTTTTGTATCTCGCAAATGTTTTCTTAGTGTAAATTTTGGGTTATAGGCTACTACCTAAATGCTGAAAGGTGTTGAATAACTAAAGAAGAAGCTTCAAGTCACCAAGAAACAATTTGATATAGATATGAAGCGGAAGTATAAGGAGCCTGTGTTGCTGGTGTAGGAGCTGGCTGTTAAGAAAAAAGAGTTGGAGAGAACGGAAGAAGAAAAAGATGACTTGAAGGACCAACTTGATGATATCGAGAATAAAGCCAAAACATTGACTATTGTGTCAGTCTTGGAGGCTATACTGAAGATGTTAGAGGACATCGTAAACAACACGGTTGAATCTTAGGACAAGACTAAGTGGGAGCAGGATTTGAAGAATTTTAAGGGTGTGGAGTATGAAGATGAGAAAGTTGGCGAAGAGAATATTAAGGACCAGGATGTCGAGGGTCCAAAGAAAGGTAAGGACATGGCTCCTTGAAGTATTTTTTCCTTTTTTTGGTTTTTTTGACAAGTATCTTTGGATTATGTTTCAAGAAAATATTTGGAATGTAATAGTTTAATTAGGTTTGGTGTGTTTGTGGACATGGAACTATCTCTCTTTTGGAAAATGATGGGCAGTTAAAATAGGTTCTTAGCAAAATTTCTTGTATCCTGTAAAAATATTTTCTTAGGATTTCTACAAAACATTTTTCAAGCAACAACTTGAATTCTTCTTTTTGAAAATAAGTTTTAGATGAGAAACATTTGTTGTATTTTGAACTAAATATCAAGCATGACAGATCCTACACTAAAGATATAAAGCAAAAGGGTTTGTGTTTGGATTCGAATTTATTTTTTTCACTTTTATGCCTTACATTCAAAGATATATTTGAGAAAATATATTTCGATAAAAAGTGTTTTTTTAATAGCTTTTATGCAATATGAAAAAATAGAGTGTAAGGTTAAAATTATGGCATATTGTAAAAGAGAGAGGTTTTAAAATTATGAGTAGGGGATAATCTTGTAATTCAAGAGTATTATGAGGATTGTGTACCTTAGACCTGGTATCATGGGATGAGATCTGAGAATGATATCTCAAGATGATATTTTGAGCCAAAGCAATTTTGTTTGTTGTCTTGAGATAAAATCTTGGATAGGTCACGAACTGCTCAATATCTTGGGTTACTATCTTGGATAAATAGCACTTTGCTTAACATCTTGAGGTATTATATTCAATAACATGTTGTTTATTATCTTGGGATATCTTTTTTGTTTTATATCTTTGGTTTTGACCTTAGGTTCGAATTTCTCCGACTTAGTGAACATGATCATGTTCTCACTAATTTACAACATAAAAATGTTGTGAATCTTGTGATAACCTTGTCCGAGGGTTGTTACCTTTGAATTTTCCACATCTTTGGGATATTCGCTTGGCTTAAGCTTAACATGTTAATGTTAAATGCACGGGTATAAGTTCCCGACTGTATGACACGCCTCTGTCATTCCAATGAAGTTTACTTAAGTTCTAGTAAATAGTTAGTAATATGGAGGTTGTCGGTTACTAAAGCGTAAGTCGATCCCCATATCCTTTTACCATCACTAGAAATCATGCGTCCAAGCGAGGTTTTTATACCTAATCTCCTAGAAATATGTAAGTCTTTAAACCTTAGAAGGTATCTTCGATACCTTAAATCATAGGAGGGGTGATCATCCCCTGAAATCTTGGACAAGATCTTCATCGTCTACAAAACAAAAATCTATGGCAAAGGGTGGGTGCTAGCTTCGCTAACACCCTTACAATGCTTAAGTCGATATTAGGAATAAGATTTATAGTGTTACAGGATCTTGGTAACACTTCACCGTATAGGGTGAAGAGCCAGTATGCCCCATTTATGATCTCTGAGTCTATAAGGTAAGGACCTTCCCATTTTGCAGCAAGTTTCCCTACACTATGTTCAAGTGTATTTTGGAATATTTTTCTAAGAAAAAAATCTCCTACCTAGAATCTTCTAACTATGATATTTTTGTTGTAATATTTTGTAATTCTTTGCAACCATGAGAACCTTACCACCTGGTTTCGTAGAAAGTTTGCCACTATATCCATGCGCCATTCCATGAATAGCCATGGGGATATTATTGGATGGAGAGGTTCAGCTGGTTGGCGTAAGACATTACTGTGTATTTTGCATGCATCACACTTGTGGGCATATTTAATTGTCTCTTTCATAATTGTTGTCCAATAATATCATGTCCTCAATATCTTCGAGAAGAGTGCCCTTCCCCCAGTATGGTTTCCACATTCTCCTTCCTGAATTTCTTTAAGGATGATATGGGCTTCCTTATCTTTGAGAAACCTAAGATAGGGACTTTCGGCTAATTTTCTAAACAATATATTTTCAATTATATTGAGCTTGAAAGCTTTGATTCTGAAGGTCCTTGGGCATCTTTCATATTTAGGAATGGGTCTATCTTGGAGATATTGCAAGTTAGGTTGGATCTAAGATTCTTTGGGACTGAGATCTTGGGTTCCAAGATCTTGAATAGGATCCACTTCCTCTTGAATGTATTTTATCATTTCTTTGATGATGTGAGATACATAGAATTTGGTGTCTGGATGGATCTTGAATGATGAACCAAGAATGGCTAGTGTATCTGCTTCAGTGTGATCTTATCCAGGTACCTCTTTTATGTCGAAATCTTGGAACTTGGATGACAAGATCTTTACTATCATTAGGTATGAAGCTAGTTTTCCATTTTTCACTGTATATTCTCCATTAAATTGGTTAGTAACTAGCAATGAATCCGTACGTACCTGAAGTATTTTGATCCTAAGATCTTAAGCGATTGGTAGACCCAAGACCAATGCCTCGTATTCTGCCTTATGGTTGGTTGCTTGAAAATCACAACTCACTGCATGGGGTGTAATGTTCCCTTGTGGCAATTTTAGTACGACTCCAAGACTTGATATCTTAGAGTTAGAGGCTCCATCTGTAAAGAGAGTCCATTTCTTTGTTTCTTCTATATCTTGAAGCCATTGAATTTCTTTTTTGGCTTCAGGTTGAAGATCCGGACTGAAATAAGCCATAAAATCTTCTAATGCTTGTGATTTTATTCAAAATATCAGCTCAGATCTTAAGTCGTAAGTACTTAGTTGTACATACCACTTAGCTATTTTCCTGACATCTCGTGTTTTCTCATCACATTCTTAACGGATAGTTATTTGTTATACTGTAACATCCCAAAAATTCATGACTAAAAATTTCATTTTAAACCATTAGATAAAACCATAGTTATCTAACCATTCCATCAAAACATGAGTCAAAGTATTTCAAAACATTATCATCAGAGTTTCCAAATCAAAACATCAAAGTAAACATCCAAGGCAAAACATCATGGTGTGTGCAATGCAGTCATCCCGAGCTCTTCTCTTTGCAACTGGAAGTACTTGAAACCAAAACTGAAAACTGTAAGCACGAAGCTTAGTGAGTTCCCCATACTACCACATATTATACACATAATCACATATAGTGGGCCTCGCCTGGAATCGAGCCCCGCTCGGCATACAAATCTTTTTCTCACAGGCCCCGCCTGTCACTGGGCCTCGCCCGCTATACACATACAAACAAAATCATATAATCATGCTAGCACATAAAGAATCATACACAGTACTATATGTTCCAGTCCTAAGGCCTCGCCTATCATGGGCCCCGCCCCTATTCTGCTAATGATGAGATATGGAACCCCGTCCACACTCAGCTAGTGATGAGATACGAGACCTTGCCCACACTCACCTCCCTACCAGGCACATACAAGTATCACAAAGACAACAAGTATAACTAAACATGCACATAGTCATCGGGTACCACCCGACATCGAACCGTAGTCCAGAATCATACATATAAACATTCCTCGGGCCCCACCCTGTGTTGGACCGTAATCCGGAAAGCATACAGACATTCCTCGGTCATAGCCCGACATTGGACCGTAATTCGGAAACATACAAATACAGACACATGTAAGAATCACGAAGACATCAAGCATACCAACGTTCCTCGGGCATCGCCCGGTATCGGATCGTAATCCGGAAACACATAACATAAATACGAGCCGGCATTGGTGCCTTCGACCCGTTCAAACAGGAGGAAACTCACCTCGCAAAGCTGGATCTCACGGATAACCCTCTAGGTGCTACTTGGTAGATCCCCGAACTGTTGATCTCTCGACTCCCCGAGCTATTAATCATCACATAAACTAGTTAAATTCAGGATTCTCATAACTTAACCATAAGTCCTCATTGGGGTAAAACACCATTCTACCCCTCACATACTTTTTTCAAAAAAACGAACTCTACTCAACTCTTGGCCCAAATAGATAAACACTCCTACAAGGCCCAATATATGGCCCAATATCCAATTGGGCCCAATCCCTTCACATGGGCCTCAACCTAAGGCCCAAAAATTCTTTTCTAGTCCAAAGGTTCAATTCCAGATGGCCCACTAAGGCCCAAGATACCATCCCATGGAAATGGCCCAAACCGAGGTGGCAACAACATAAAGCCCAAATCCAATGAGTATGCGGGGCGTACTTCTATGTACGCTAAGCGTACAGGCTGTATGGCTTGTACGCCCAGCGTACTGCTTTGTTAAGCCATTTATACCATTAAGCACTTAATACTTTATTCCAGAGGCTAATATCACAGATCCAAGTCCTCATCCACGTCTTATTCCATAAAGTCACTTACTTGGTGACTTTACATGACCCAAATGAACCCAAACACAAAGTATAGAAATCTACTTCCATGAAAACGGCCATAACTAAAGCATGTAATGATTTAAATCCCAAAGATGACAATTTTATGATTCAATGATCCAAATAACACTGAGAATGGCAATTCTAAGCTTCAAAAACTATAAGGACTCGTGACACTTCATCAATGTGACCAAAAGGGTCCATAAACCCATAATTCAAGAGATCTAAGCAAATAAACACCAAGTTCAAAACGTTATACCTTATATGAATGCCAAATGTTGATAAGGTTATGGATCTACAAGCCTTTGCTCCTTTGATGATGCTTCAACAATGGCCACCTTCCTTAAAAACACTAAGATGCACTCCAAAATGTTCTTCTATGCTCCAAGATCACTCAATTATGGATTAAAGTTTCGTAGTAGCTGCTTTAGAGTGAGAGGGAGGCTGGTCTTTGAGGCATAATGTTCTTATATAGTGCCATACCCTAAAATTTAGGGTTTTAGTCTGAAGGGAGTATGCCCCGCGTACCCCTTAGTACGCCCGACGTACTCGCAAACCACCCACGACTATTTAACCCAGCTTACGTTGGGCGTTCCCAGCCGGACACGTGCATGCATT